CCCCCCCCCCCCCCCCCCCCCCCCCCCACACACACACACACATACACACCAACAGCACCACGTCTTTCGTCTGGACGTGACTGTTGTGGTGGCACTGACAGCCGAACAGAGAAAAACACAGAAAAATGACACCGATGACGACGGAACAAGTCGAGAGAGGAGAGAGAGAGGTTATGAAGTACGCAATAGATGGAATCCACTACGACAACGAGGACGAGCTGTTTTTGTTACGACAAAGAGCGCCAGCGTACTTCGACACAAGGGTTGACGTTCAGCGGTCACTGGCAGCAAATGGAGACAGGCCAATGAAAGCACAGCAGTTGCTGCTGCGCTTAAATCAAAATGCATACGTGGATGACGACCACACCATGGCATCTTGCTCTACGAACACCCTTCACCAAGTCGTGGATTGGATGTGCAACGACCATGACATCGACATGAGCAAAAGAGATGGAGGCGGTTCGTACGACACATCAGCGTTCAAGAAGTTTGTGAGATCTCAGGCAAGAGAAAGTCAAATGTTGAAGACAGGGGGTGGTGACGAATTAAAACCGAATGCAGCGGAGATATTGGCACTGAGCAGGATGAACGAGGTCCCTCAAAGAGATCCTATTGACTACCATGAACTGGCAACAATGGTGGTGGACGGTGTCGAGTATATGCTACTAGACCAGATTGTTGACTTTATGAAGAGTGGAGGCGAGGACAAAAATCTCATTCACGAGGCGTTGCACGAGGTGACGGAGGAGGCAATAGCAGCAGCGGAGGTTGTCGATGTTGAGTATGTAAAGGATCGCACACTCGACCTTGTGTCGGGGACTCCTGTGTCCCGGTGGAATATATTCGAAGCTGTAGAGGAGCTGATCGCGGCATCGACGGATGTGGACAGGAGGAGGAAGAGAAAGTGCGGATGGCAAATGCTTGTTGCAGAACACGACACCGCAAGGACACACACAACAGACACGACAGTGTAGGACACAGGTGGCACAGTATCTTTGGCGGATGTCAGGACCGTGTTGAAGAATCCTGCTGCGAATTCAACAACTGTTCATGGTGGATTCAGAGAGTGGACATTGCCACCGAGACATCCTTCACGTGACTTCAATGAAGGACTCGAACAAGCATCGCATCAGGGAGATGATGTGGTGGTTCCTTGTGACGAGAAGGGCGATGCACAGACAGGACCGCAACAAGAGAACTCGACATCATCAGAGTCGGGAAAGAGCAGCAGTGAAAACAAAGGCGACGAGGTGGGTGAGGAATACGATCCTTATTGGGACGTAAAGCGAGGTGGTGGTCAGGGGTCGAAAGGGTGGTGTCATGCAATTTTGAGGTTGACGTGTGTTTTCTCGTTGATACGTGTTGTGGACAAGGTGGCAACACCGGAAGGGCGTCTGCACTTCGCAGCAATTAAGACAATTATGCCATGCATGGAAAACGGCAAACGTTGGGCTAAGCCAAGAAAATCATGGTTTGTTCTCATACACAAGGAGGTCATTCTGACGACATCGCTGTCATGGGGTGTGAACCTCAGTTGAGTCATACATTGAGCAGTTGCCACTGCATGCGGTGGAACCGTGCACCCCTTAATGTCAACCGCGGCAGCAATTATACATGCACAACCAACACTCTGTCTCATTGGCACGAAAGACAACAATATCGATGTTGCTATGGACATACGCCAAACATCAGAGAAACAATCAAAACGGAGAAAATTATAGGTCTCTCTCTCTCTCTCTCTTTCTCTCTCTCTCTCTCTCTCTCTCTCTCTCTCTCTCTCTCTCTCTCTCTCTCTCTCTCCACACACACACACACACACACACACACACACACACAC